TGGCCCCAGACCCCCCCAGAGCCCCCCGGACACCCGCGGACCCCCCCAGACCCCCCAGGCGCACCAGACCCCCTCGGAACCACCCCGAGACTCCCCTGGAACCCCCCGAACCCCATCGGACTCTCCTGACCCCCGGAGGAGGAGGGGGAGGGGGAGGAGGAGGAGAGAGGAGGGAGGAGGAGGAGGAGGAGGAGGAGGATGAGGAGGAGAGAGAGGAGGAGAGGAGGAGGAGGAGGAGGAGGAGAGGAGAGGAGGAGGAGGAGGAGGAGGAGGAGGAAGGAGGGGAGGAGAGGAGGAGGAGAGGAGGGAGGGAGGGAGGGAGGAGAGGGAGGGGGAGGGGGGGGAAGGAGAGGAGGAGGAGGGGAGGAGGAGGAGGAGGAGGAGGAGGAGGAGGGGAGGAGGAGGAGGAGGAGGAGGAGGAGGAGGAGGAGGAGGAGGAGGGGGACGGGGAGGAGCTGGACCCCCAGATCCTCCTGGACCTCTCGGACTCCCTGGACCCGCCCCGGACCCCCCGGACCCTCCCGGGCCAGCTCGGGCCGCCTGGACCTCGCCCGCGGACCCACCTGACCACCCTGGCCTCCACACCGGACCTTCTCGGACTCCCCGGACCCTCTCGGCCCCCCCCCGGACCCCACTCCAGACCCCTCTGAACCCCACTCGGGCCGCCCAGAAACCACGCCAGGAGTGGCGCCACATCCGTCGACCAAAGATGGTGAACTCCACCTAGGGCCCAAAAACCTACCAAAACCTGTCGGGAAACTCAATGATTTGGGCCTTTTAACCTTCTCGGGGGTCCAAGGGGGCCACAAGATGGCTCAAGATCGTCTCGAGACGGGCCAAGACGGCCCCAAGACGGTCCAAGATCCAAGATGGCCCGAAGAGGGCGCAAAAAAGCCCCCAAGACGGCCCAAGAGAGCCCCAAGAGAACTCGCAGGGGCGCTCCCCGAGGCATCCAAGATGGTCCGAAGAGGGCGCAAAAAAGCCCCCAAGACGGCCCAAGAGAGCCCCAGGAGAACTCGCAGGGGCGCTCCCCGAGGCATCCACGATGGCCCGAAGAGGGCGCAAAAAGCCCCCAAGACGGCCGAAGGGAGCCCCAGGAGAACTCGCAGGGGCGCTCCCCGAGGCATCCAAGATGGCCCGAAGAGGGCGCAAAAAGCCCCCAAGACGGCCCAAGAGAGCCCCAAGAGAACTCGCAGAGGCGCTCCCCGAGGCCAAAATCAATGATTCCCCAAAGGGTTTGTGACAGATCTTGGCGCTCTCGCCTCGTTCGACCCTCGGAGGCCAGGGACGGCCCAAGCAGCCTCCAGCATTGCCACCAGGCGGCCCTGGAGGCCCCAAAGATCGGGTCGGGCGAAAGGGGGGGATAGCAAAGGGGGGGTTTGAGAATCAGCTCACGTAGCTGATTTCCCGTCGCCTCCCGGCGCCGGAGGCGGCTATGTATCGAGGAATGGGCCCCTCGGTGAGGCCGAAACCAGCTGCATGCAGCAAATTTCGTAACCCCCCCTTTCCCAATCCCCCCCTTTCGCCCGGCCCGAAAAGAGGGCCCCAAGACATACCAACAAGAGGGCCCCCAGACGGTCCATGGAGGCCCCTAAGACGGTTCAAAAGGCCCGCGAGACGGTCCAGGAGGACCCCAAGAGAGCTTTAAGGCAGCCGCAAGTAAAACAGGGCTAGGATCGGGATAAATCGCTCCAGAGCGCCCCGGAGCGCTCTCAGAGCGTCCTGGAACGCTCTGGAGCGGCCGCGGCGCCCAATGCATCCTCCAAACCCGCCGATTCTCAGAGATGTCGAGTTATCCCGATCCGATTTTGTCCCGACCTTCGTGCCGTTCTAGCAGGAGGCCCACAAAGGACGTACGCGCCCAGCTATGTACATGCACACGGCCCCTCGATCCGCGAGACCGGCGCCGCGTGATACGAACTCTCGGGCAACGCGTGCTCTCGAAACCAGCGTGGATTCATGTACGTGTACGTCCTTCTGTCGCTCCCGATGCTAGCAGGAGGCCCCCGAATGGCTGCCCGGCGGCCGTTGCAACCTCTCTGTGGCGATCTCGGGTGCCTCCGGGGCGGCCGTGGGCGCTCTGAAGATCGCGCGTGCGAGCTGAGAGAACAAGACGTACAGTCATCGGCCTGACCTAAGGAACGATACGGTCGGACCTGGGACAGAAGAACATCCCTCAAGGACTTGAGACCCTCCGCCAGCCCAGCCACACAGAACATCCAAGGGTACCCTCCCCGGGATGCACAAGGGCATCCAACAAGCACGAAGAACACTGGGGTACCCTCCCCGAACCGACCTCGATCTTATACCTTGGTCCGGCTGTACTCCAGATTTCGTAATAAAGGGAGGGGGGTCTCATTTCGGGGGGGGTCTCTTCCAGGCTATCTTGGAGGGCCTGGGGGGTCTGGAGACGATGTTTTGGAGGGTTCTCCCACGGGGGAGGTCTGAAATGGCTTGTCTTGTAGGGTCCAGACCCCCTCCCTTTTATTACAAAATCTGGAGTAAATAAGGAACGAAACTCCTTTTTTATCCCAAGGAATAACGCATAAGGAACGGTACATAACAAATAGCGCATAAGGAACCGTAAATAACGCATGCAAGCCTAAGGAACGACCGAGCCCCTTTTGGAAAGTAAGCGTTCCTTGTTCAAGCCGCTCACTGTATGCGAGCTGAGAGAACAAGATGTATGACACCGGACGGGAACTACGGGGGCAAGAGAGCCAAATGGAGCTTCGAGGGCGAGGGTAGCGGGAGGACGGCTGGGGAGGAAGCGGGGGAGAGGATGGAGGAAGACAGCAGAGGACTGAAAGAGCAGGGTAGGGTGAGGAGGAGAAGAAGAGTCAAGGGGTGCATGAGGGTGCATGAGGAAGAACAGGGACTCCGTCCCCTTTCCCGTTCCCTCCCTACCCCTTCCATCGTACATAACTTCTCACTGGCGCCTGTCGCTCCATCAGACGTGTCCGCAGGCCGGCCCAGGCGCTGCGCTCGAGACTTCCTCACGAGTTCCGATCCCGAAGCCTGGAGTGTCCCACAACTGCGGGCATGGAGGCCAGGTCCCCTTCGAGACGTGGCTCCGCCATGGCGGCGCCCACAACCGCCTTCACAGCTTCGCTCGCCGACGCTATTTGGGGTCGCCAGGGCGCTCGCCGACGCTATTTAGGGTAGGATGGAGGCCACCACCTTTCAAAGCATGTGGATCTCGCCTCAGCGCCGCGCGCATTCGTCTGAAATGAAGGGGCCCCAGGACACACAAATACATACACACAAATGAAAATGTTCCCCATAGTTTCCCATATTTTCTGGGTTTCTGTCTTCCCCCCCACTTCCCATACTTTCTAATATTTTCTGGGGAATCGAGGACTAATCGTGTCTGTGTGTGTTTTCCCTCTCCTGATAAAAAGGCGTGCAGCAGTCGCACGGATGGAGGCTGGGCCCTCTTCAAAATGTTGCTCTCGCCCCGGCGCCGCGCACCGTCGTCGCTCGAACACGGGAGCTGCACGGAAGCGGGCTGGCACGTGTTCGAAACGAGGCTCTCGCCTGAGACCTCCTCAAGCATAGCACAGCGCATGGCGAGTTGTGTCACAGTTGGAGGGCGTCTCTGATTCCAAACTGGCTGGGTAGTCGAAGCCAATCTGGCGCCAAGCTGGCAGGCCCAATCTGGCAAACGGGGGGCAATCTGGCGAGGGAGCCCACGCGAATCCCGTCTGACGAAGAGCCCAGATCGTCCAGCTTGGCCAGGCCAGATTGGCCCTTGGGGCCCAATCCAATCTGACAGTCTGGCCTTCGACTACCCAGACAGGAACTGCACGGAAGCGGGCTGGCACGTGTTCGAAACACGGCTCTCGCCTGAGACTTCCTCAAGCATAGCACAGCGCATGGCGAGTTGTGCTACGGTTGGAGGGCGTCTCTGATTCCAGACTGGGGTCTCGCGTGGAAATGTTGCTAGGTTGCCTGACCAGACGTTGCGTGTGCAGCCGACAGACGGATGGAGGGCGACTCCTTATCAGAGCGGCGCTGTCGCAGGGCACTTCCTCAAACTTTCAACAGCCCCATCTTGCCGCATTCCTCTACTGGAAGGATGTACAGTCGGGGCGCTGACCTAAGGAACCCAAAATAAGGAACGAGGCTCTTTTTTTCCATAAGTTGAACTTCGATTTCCGATCGAAGACATAAGGAAAACCTGAGGCAAGCTGCGAAACACTTAAGGAACGCGGAGCCCCTCCCCAACCAAAAGGGTTCCTTCTTCAGGGCCCCGACTGTACTGTAAGGGTGTAGGGCGTTTCTCCCAAACTGAAGGGGCCCAAGGACACACAAATATATACACACAAATAAACAGATTCCTCAGATTTTCCCATATGTTCTGGGTTTTTGTCTTCCCGCCCAATTCCCATATGTTCCCATATTTTCTGGGGAATCGAGGATTAATTGTGTCTGTGTGTTTTTTCCCCTCCTGATCCTTCTTCAGGGCCCCGACTGTATGTTCCCATATTTTCAATGTTTTTGTCTTCCCGCCCAATTCCCATATTTTCCTATATTTTCTGGGGAATCGAGGATTAATTGTGTCTGTGTGTGTTTTTCCCTCTTGGCAGACGGAGCGCCCGCCCGAACTGCGGGCCCGTGGGGCGCCCGCGTTTCCATGCGCAGCGCTCCGCGCAGTGCAGGAGGCGTGCTCGCAGGGACCGCCGAGGTGCTTTGGGAGCGTCGTCCACTCTTCTTGAGTTTTACGCTGGTCCTCCTCCTCCTCCTGCTCCTCCTCCTCCTCCTCTTCCCTCCTCCCTCCTCCCTCCTCCCTCCTCCCTCCTCCCCTCCCTCCACTCCTCCCTGCCTCCCTCCTCCCTCCTCCCTCCTCCCTCCTCCTCCCTCCTCCCTCCTCCTCTCCCTCCTCCTCCTCCTCCTCCTCCTCCTCCTCCTCCTCCTCCTCCTCCTCTCCTCCTCCTCCTCCTCCTCCTCCTCCTCCTCCTCCTCCTCCTCCTCCTCCTCCGAGACGGCGGCTCGCTCGCGGTCCTCGGCTGGCTGGCGCCGCTGGTGGGGGCCGCGCCGCTCGCGAGGGCGCCGGGGGATGTCGCCTGCCCCCGCTCACGCAGGAGATTCGGGCCAGGCGAAAAGGGGGGATAGCAAATTTGGACGCCCGAAATGGGTACGGAAAGAATGGGTACGATGCCCAACAGCAGTTCCTGTTCATTTTGAACAGGACTCGCTGTCCGCGCTCCCGCGGCCTGTGTCCATTCGAAACAGAAGGCCGCCTGCCCAACAGCGGCCGCTGTTGGTTTGGGGCAACATTTGTTGTTGGGCATTGTACCCATTCTTTCCGTACCCATTTCGGGCGTCCAAAGTCAAGGGGGGGATACTGGGTAGTCGAAGCCAATGTGGCGCCCATCTGGCGGGCCCAATCTGGCAAACGGGGGCAATCTGGCGAGGGAGCCAACGCGAATCCGGTCTGGCGAATAACCCAAATCATCCAGTTTGGCCAGGCCAGATTGGCCCTTGGGCCAATCTGACAGTCTGGCCTTCGACTACCCAGGGATAGCGAAGGGCGGCTATGTATCGAGGAATGGGCCCGGCGGCGGGGCCGAAACCAGCTGCACGCAGCAGATTTCGTAGCCCCCCCTTTCCCTATCCCCCCCTTTCGCTCAGCCCATGGGATGGATGGATGGGGGGGCACGGGAGGAGGTGGGGGGAGGGAAGCCAGCCAGAGACAGCGAGCGAGGAGGGTTCTGGTCTGCGCACTTCGGCCTCTCGCCGTGGGCTCTGCTCGAGCAAGGGGGGTGCGGCCTCCGGTGCAGGGGGAAGTCCTCCGCATGCCCGACCCTGCCGCGCGAGTGTCTCCATCATATGGCCCCGCGAGGGGGGAGAAACGCCAAGACGCAGGAGGAGGATATCGAGCATGGCGCTCCGAATGCTCTTCCTCCCCCCTCTCCCCCGCTGCTGCCTTTCCTCTCCCTTCTCCCACTTTGCTCGACCAGACCAGTCAAAACAAAAGACCAGGTCTCCCAAGACCAGACCAGACGAAAGCAGACAGCAAGAGGCGACCCGACAAGACTAGACCACCCAGGACGGGACAATACCGAACCATATCAGACGAAGAGGGGAAGGGTGCAGAGGAAGTATGCGCAGGTAGGTGGCAACGTTCTCGCCCTCCTCTGGTGAGGCAGTAGATTAGAGCAACTCAGGGATTGTTGCCTGTTTAGGGGCTACTGAGAGTGGTTCATCCTGGTCCGCGGGGGGGTCTGGTGTGGTGAATCCATGGTGTGTGCTTGCCAGGGTACCGAAATCACGTGTTACCACGTAAGTTTCTACCTCCTCAATTTCCATCCTCACTCCACTGGGCAGCTCATCATATCTGGAGGGCAAAAGAAGAGAATGCGCCGAACATCTTATATGCTCTCAACGAGCAGAATGTGTGCTTCTGTTCACATTGACAACACTGTGTGCCTTCATGCAATTCGGTGGTGGCTCATCCTGGTTTAGAGTGGTTCATCACGGTTCGGGTGGTGGCTTATCCTGGTTCGTTCTGGTTTGGAGTGGTCCGTCCTCGCTCAATTAGGTTTGCAGTGGCTCATCAAGGCTGGATGGTTAATTATGGATTTCACTGGTTCATCCATACCCCGTTGGTGGAATCCACGAGATGATGCTGCCCAATGTTCCTGCACATCCACGGGCGAACAAATTAGCCTGGCGAAGGACCCAACCATATGCAGCTGCGAGTACCGCACGGATATGAAACGAAGGAGGGGGCACGCAAACTAGGCCCCTCTTCTCATAGGCACCGCGCCACTGGGGCCTTCGGTGGAGCTCCCTATGGGGCCACGAAACGTGTGAAGGGTGTGCCGAAATGGGTGGTGGGGAGGCATGCGGACCCTGCCACTGGGGCCTTCGGTGGAGCTCCCTATGGGGCCACGAAACGTGTGAGGGGTGTGCCGAAATGGGTGTGGGGAGGCATGCGAACGCAGCCACTGGGGCCTTCGGTGGAGCTCCCTATGGGGCCACGAAACGTGTGAGGGGTGTGCCGAAATGGGTGTGGGGAGCATGCGGACAGCCATGGGGCCTTCGGTGGAGCTCCCTATGGGGCCACGAAACGTGTGAGGGGTGTGCCGAAATGGGTGGTGGGGACGCATGCGGACGGCAGCACTGGGGCCTTCGGTGGAGCTCCCTGTGGGGCCACGAAACGTGTGAGGGGTGTGCCGAAATGGGTGTGCGGGACGCATGCGGACGGCAGCCATGGGGCCTTCGGTGGAGCTCCCTATGGGGCCTCGAAACGTGTGAGGGGTGTGCCGAAATGGGTGGTGGGGAGGCATGCGAACGCAGCCACTGGGGCCTTCGGTGGAGCTCCCTATGGGGCCACGAAACGTGTGAGGGGTGTGCCGAAATGGGTGGTGGGGAGGCATGCGAACGCAGCCAGTGGGGCCTATTCGTGGGGGGGGAGCTGCCTAGGGGGGGGGCCACGAAACTTTGGAGGGTGTTTGCCGAATGGGGGGTGGGGGGTGGTATGGGTGGAATGCGAAAACGCAGCCACTGGGCCCTTCGGTGGAGCTCCCTATTGGGGGCCACGAAAACGTGTGAGGTGTGTGCCGAATGGGTGGTGGGGAGGCATGCGAACGCAGCCACTGAGGCCTTCGGTGGAAGCTACCCTGTGGGGGCCGGCGCGCGAAAACGTGTGAGGGGTGTGCCGAAATGGGTGGGTGGGGAGGCATGCGAACGCATGTCCACTGGGCCTTCGGTGGAATGGCTCACCTATGGGGTGGGGCCACGAAACGTGTGAGGGGTGGTGGCTCGAAATGGGTGGTGGGGAGGCATGCGAACGCAGCCACTGGGGCCTTCGGTGGAGCTCCCTATGGGGCCACGAAACGTGTGAGGGGGTGTGCCGAAATGGGTGGTGGGGAGGCATGCGAACGCAGCCACTGGGGCCTTCGGTGGAGCTCCCTATGGGGCCACGAAACGTGTGAGGGGTGTGCCGAAATGGGTGTGGGGGAGGCATGCGAACGCAGCCACTGGGGCCTTCGGTGGAGCTCCCTATGGGGCCACGAAACGTGTGAGGGGTGTGCCGAAATGGGTGGTGGGGAGGCGTGCAAACGCAGCCACTGGGGCCTTCGGTGGAGCTGCCTATGGGGCCACGAAACGTGTGAGGGGTGTGCCGAACTGGGTGGTGGGGAGGCATGCGAACGCAGGAGGGAGGAGGGCGAGGAGAAGGAGGAGGAGGAGGAGGAGAAGGAACGCGGGGACCGTTTCTTCAAAACGAGGACCCAACACCACAGGATGGTTGGGAAAAAGACTACGAAGCACGAGATGCCCCCCACAACCCTCGACCTCGACCCAATGTCCCTCACACTCCAGGTGCTGCGAGGTGGGCAGGGGGCAAGCACTGGGTTCGCGTGCCGGTTCTGTGTCCCCCTCATCGTCCATCCCTCCCCGATCCTCCTCCCTCCCTCCTGCCTTCATCTCTCCTCCTCCTCCTGTGATCTTCCTTTCTCCGTCCTCCCCCACCCACCCTCCTCCCGCTCTCGCTCTCCCATCTGCTCCTCCTCCATCTCTCAGCCCTCGTCCGCTCCTCTCTCGCGCTTCCCCGTCCGTTGTCTGGGCCCAGCCGCCCCCGCTCGGCCGGGGCACCACCCGGGCCTCTGCCTGCTCTCGGAGGGCCAGCCTGAGAACGCCAGTGTCTGGAAGCGCGTCGCCCGGGGCCGGTGCTTCGAAGGAAATGGGCGAACCAGTACGGGGAAGTGTCCGAACAATGATGAGCCAAGGGCCCCTAGTCCCGAGTCGCTGCCTCCTGTCGTCGTCTCCTCCTCCTCCTCCTCCTCTGCCTCCCCCATCCAGCTCCCTTCCCCCTCCACTTCTTCTCGTACTCCTCCCCACTCCACCTCCCCATCCTCCTCCAATTTTCCTTACAAATGAACTCTCCCCTGTCGCACCACGAAACGTGTTGGTAGGGCGGGCCGGGCGTTTCGCCTGAGACTCCCTCACCACTTACGATCCTTAAGCTGAACATCAGTCTGGAACATTATTTGAAATCCGGTTCTCGCCTTAGCGCCGAGCGCATTCGTCTTAAGAGTTTGCAAGGTTTTCACGGATGGAGGGGGGGTGGTTTTCAAAATGTGGGTCTCGCCGTAGCGCTGCGCTCATTCGTCTCGCCCGTCTGCAAGCGTTTCACGGGTGGAGGGCGGTTCCTTTTCGAAATGTGGCGTTCGCCTCAACACCGCGCACACTCGTCCAAATGTTACAATCGTTTCATATATTATTATGGCTGACTTCCCAGAAATTGTGTCCGGGCACAATGTAAGACTGCCAGGGCGCAACAGTCAGGCTGATTCGCGGTGTTGAAGTCCGAGGAATAGTGTTCTGGCATGACTAAGTACTCGTGGCGCTGAAGTCCCAGGAATGGTGTTCTGGTATGGTTCAGGATTATCAGATGGTTGTCTTCCAATGGTGCCCGTCCCTCAATGAGCATTGATGATTGTAAGGACCTATGAAGTGGGAACCTGGAGGGAGGGTGTTTGTTGCAGAATCGCTTATGAGTCTTAGGCTCGCACTGGTCCTCCTCCTCCTCCTCCTCCTCCTCCTCCTCCTCCTCCTCCTCTGGTCTTCTCGTCGCGTCGTAGTATCTTCCTCGTCCTCCGCTTCCTCCTCCTCCACCGTCGCCAGGCTCGCCGCCGCCGAGTGCTCTGCTCTCGGCCCTGACGTGTCCGCGGGCCTGCCCGACCGGGGCGGACAAGCAGACAAAAAGCAGTACTTCGGGCTTTCTTCGAGCAGACTTGGCCCTCCTTCGGCAAATCAGGTCCAAGGTGCTCCATAAGGAGCCCAAGAGGGCCCCGAGTCCCAAAATCCGCCGACCCTGTCGGCGTGTGGAAGACGCATTCCAGTGTCGTCGTCTTGCGTGGATCCCCGTCGTCGTCGTCGTCGTCGTCGTCGTCGTCGCCCGAAATAAAAGGAAATCGAACACGAAACATCAGGAAATCGTAGTCGTGGCGAAGCCCCTCCCTCCCCTCCCCCACCGGGGGAGGGTGTGTGTGGGGGGGGGGGGGGGGCGACCCCTCTCCCTCCCTCTCCCCCTCCCCCTCCCCCTCCCCCTCCCCCTCCCCCTCCTCCTCCTCCTCCTCCTCCTCCTCCTCGACCCAGAGGGGCCCCCCAAACGGCTTCCGACGGGCCAGGAGCTCACCAAGACGGCCAAAGATGGCCCTAAGATGGCCCACCATGGCCCAAGAGGCCTCCAAGAGGGCCTCCAAGAGGGCCTCCAGGGACGCCCGAAGGCCAAAATCATTGATTTCCCATTGCGTTTTTGACGGATTGTGGCATTTTCTTTTTGTTCGGCCTTCCGACGGCCCGAGACGTTCCAAGAGCCCCCGAAGATCGCCCAAGAGGTCTCCAGTATGGCCCCAGAACGGCCCAAGAATCCTCCAAGACGGCCCCACGAAGCCCCCAAGACGGCCCAGAGAGGCCCCCAAGACGGCTTCCGACTGCGTCAGACGGGCCAGGAGCCCACCAAGACGGCCAAAGAGGCTCCCGAGAAGCCCCCCAAAGGTCCAAGAGGCTCCCAGGAAGCTCCCAGGAGGCCCCAAGAATGTCCCCAGATGCTCAAAATATGCCTCCTCCTCCTCATCCTCCTCCCCCTCCTCCCTCCTCCCCCTCCCCCTCCCCCTCCTCCTCCTCCTCCTCCTCCTCCTCCTCCTCCTCCTCCTCCTGCCCTTCCTCCTCCTCCTCCTCCTCCGCCTCCTCCTCCGCCACGTCTTCGTTTACCTCCGACGTCTTATCACGCATCCCGTCACCCTCGAGGGCCGAGGTATCCAGGGTCGGCGGCACTGGCCGTAAGGCCTTAGCAATCTTGCTCCGAGACGTCAAAGATGGCCTCCAGACGGCCCAAGGCGCCCCCCAAAAGCTTCCAAGCGCACTACCGAAAGGGCCCCGACAGGCGAAATGCATTGAACTCCGGTGGTTTTCGACAGATGCTCGCGTTTCTCCCTTCTCGGCCTCTCGACGCTCCAGGACGGCCCAAGAGGCCCTACATATTGCCCAAGAGGGCCTACAAGGCCGTCAAGAGGGCGCCGAGATGGCCCAGAAGGCCTCCAAAATGTCCCAAGAGGCCCCCAAGACGGCCCAAGACGACCCAAGAAACGCCCCAATAGGGGCCCCAGAGGGCGAACACGAACTGACATGTCGAGCTAACCGCCCATGATCATTTGCTTCAGCTTGCTCACTGCCTCGGACACCGCCACATAGCTCTCGACCTTATTGCCACGTGCTTGCGACGCCGCCATCTTTCTCAGTCTGGCTGCAAGCGCCTCCCATAGATTGGCCTTTTCTCTCATGGCTGCGTTGATGACTGGACCCGACTTCTCCTGGAACGTAATCTTTCTCATGGCAAACTGTGGCGTGCCCAAGAGGGCCCAGGGAAGTCCCAAGAGGCTCCCAAGAGGCCCCCAAGAGACCCTCAACAGGTCCTCAGGAAGCCCCAAGACGCTCCCAAGAGGCTCCCACATGCCTTCCAAACTGCCTCCAGCGGCTCCCCGACAGCCCTCCCCAGAGATACCAAGAAGCATCCATGAGGATTCTGACCCACTGCCCAGGCACGGTGACGGGATGGGCCCCCAAGACGGCTTCCGACTGCGTCAGACGGGCCAGGAGCCCACCAAGACGGCCAAAGAGGCTCCCGAGAAGCCCCCCAAAGGTCCAAGAGGCTCCCAGGAAGCTCCCAGAAGGCCCCAAGAGTGTCCCCAGATGCTCCCAAGATGCCCCCTCCTCCTCCTCCTCCTCCTCCTCCTCCTCCTTCTCCTCCTCCTCCTCCTCCTCCTCCTCCTCCTCCTCCTCCTCCTCCACGTCCTCCTCAGCTCCTCCGCCTCCTCTTGATCTTCTCCGCCATCCTCCTCCAAGTGTTCCCCGAAGGGTTTCCACAACGGTTGGGGGAACACATGGCCCGATACCTTGACAGAGCTTTTGCCACAACGCTCGGCCACATGGGCGATTCTAGAAGGCGGGGGGCGGCGGTGATTCGCCGTAGGCGTCTTCGATCCAAGAGGAGCCTGAAATCGCCCGAGCGCCCCAAGAGAGCCCCCAGAGGGCCCCCACAGAATTCTCCAAGAGACGACCAGGCTCGCCTTCCAGATGGTCAGGATGGCGCTGCATTGCCGCCAAGACGATCCAAGATGCCTTCGAAGACGGCGAAGATGGTCCCAAGATGCCTACAAGACGGTCCCAGATGGCGGTAGGAGGCCGCCATGAAGCCTGAGGAAGCTCCCCTCCTCCTTCTCCTCCTTCTCCTCCTCCTCGTTGTCCGTCTCGTTCTCCTCCCCTCCTCCTCCTCCTCCTCCTCCTCCTACTCCTCCTCCTCCTCCTGCTCGCGGCTGCGAGAGCACATGGGTAGATAGCTTGGCAAAACTGTGCTCCTCGTCATCGAAGGGGTCGAAGAAGCATGCGGGCCCCGTGGGGGCCAGAAGCAGCTTACACCCGAGAAAAAACGCAGCCGTCACGCAGAACCGAAAAACTTGGTATCAAGATTTCGGGGTGTCGGTCGGCCCAGGTGGGCCTCACCCGATCGGGCCCTCGGGGCACGCCTGCAGAGCTGGTTGGGCGCTCGCGCGCTTGCCCGTTCCCGCGACCTGCCTGGCCCCGCTGGCCAAACGTCAGGGCCGCTTGGCGCCTCTCGAGTTCCACTCGGGTCGGGAGCGAGTGGGGCAGACGCTGAGATGGCCGACGCGCGACGCGGAACCCGGTCGGTGGACTCTTCTCGAATGGGGCCTGGCAAGTACAAAGAGAACCCTCTTTTGAACATGTTGTTGCTGTCCCTTGAGCCTCCTCCTCTTCTTCCTCTTCTTCCTCCTCTTCCTCCTCCTCCTCCTCCTCCTCCTCCTCCTCCTCCTCCTCCTCCTCCTCCTCCTCCTCCTCCTCCTCCTCTCCTCCTCCTCCCTCCTCCTCCTCCCTCCTCCTCTCTCCTCCTCCTCCTCCCCCCCCCCCCCCCCCCCCTCCTCCTCCCTCATCCACCTCCTGCACCCCTTCCTCTTCCTCCTGCCACTCCTCCTCCTCCCCCTGCATGCCCCCCCCTCCTCCCTCTCGTCTTCGTCGTCTTCAGGGTTGGCGGCCACGGCCGCAAGGCCTTCGCAGTGCAAAGAGAACCGGTTTGCTGTCCCTCGAGCGGGGCCGCGCTGCAGGCCCCGCGGGTGCTGCGCGGCGCGGCCACCGGCGGCGCGGCGGGCCGACGCCGCTGGCCCCGCGCCGGTCGGCGCGGTGCCGCCGGCGGCTGGCGCGCGCGCACGCCGGGCGCCCTGCCCTCTGTTAAAACAGGGCTAGGATCGGGATAAGTCGCTCCAGAGCGTTCCGGAGCGCTCTCAGAGCGTTCCGGAACGCTCTGGAGCGGCCGCGGCGCCCAATACATCGCCGATTCTCAGTGATTTCGAGTTATCCCGATCCAATTTTGTCCCGATCTTCGCGTCGTTTTAGGCGCGGCGGGCCGACGCCGCTGGCCCCGCGTCGGTCGGCGCGGTGCCGCCGGCGGCCGGCGCGCGCGCACGCCGGGCGCCCTGCCCTCCGTGCCGGGCGCCCTCCGTCCGGCTGGCGCTCTGCCCTCCGGCAGCGCCGGCGCAGGTTGGCGGCGCGCACAAGGGCAGGAGAGCCCAGAATCGAATCGACAAGTCGGATCGGCGATCGACATGAATCGGATCGTCGGAAATCGGCAGCTGAGTCGGGAAAAGTCGGATCGGCAGAAATCGGCAGGCTAGTGTGCCTCCAATAAGGAATCGGAACCCAGATCGGAATCCCAAGTCGAATCGAGTCGGAATCGGAATCCATCGAAATCGAATCGAATCGAATCGGAGGAATCGAAGCGAGCCCTGCAAGGGGGTGGAGGGAGGGGGGAGGGCTTCCTCTCCCCACCCCCACTCTGCGCGTGGCCGAGCAGGTGGCCCGAGGCGCGGCGCGCGGCCGCGGCGCCTCGGCGGGCGGCCGGTGCCGTTTCGGCAGCCCGTGCTGCAGCTGGCGAGTGCCGGGCCCTGGGGCCCCTCGCGAGCCGCCGAGGACCCAGACCCCCTCGAGTAATGAAAAAATCATGACGGGAGGTTTTTCACAATTTTCGGCCTCCGGGGGCCCTCACCGGGCCTCGGGAGCGTCAAAAAACGACTCAGGATGCAAAGCCGGTCATGGGGAAGGGGTCAAGACCTCTGGGGGTCGACGTAATGAAAAAATCATTACGTCGGGGGTCTGGGGAGGAGGGGAGGGCATCTGGGTAGTCGAAGCCAATCTGGCGCCAATCTGGCAGAGTCCTACTACGAAATCCTCCGAGAACCCAAGAATGCTCTAAGAACTTAAGCAATGTTCTTAGAACAGAAGCCCGACGCGATGAAACAAGACAGACTCCGCCAGAAATGTTCTAAGAACCCTTCGTGGAAACCACGACAGGCTCTTGGAACATGGTTTGGTAGGGCCGTGGGCACGCTGGGACGCTTCGCCGCTGCTTGAACTCCTGCGCGGACAAGGCGAGCGACACCGCGGAGCCCGGCGCTCCTGGCTGGGTAGTCGAAGCCAACCTGGCGCCAATCTGGCAGGCCCAATCTGGCAAACGGGGGCGATCTGGCGAGGGAGCCCACGCGAATCCAGTCTGGCGAATAACCCAAATCGTCCAGCTTGGCCAGGCCAGATTGGCCCTTGGGGCCCAATCCAATCTGACAGTCTGGCCTTCGACTACCCAGGGCGTGGAGTTCTGCAGGGCTGAACCTAGACGGTGTTTTTTCCCTTTCGCTTTGCTTTCGTTTTCCGTCGCTTTTGTCTCGAATCCGCCCTTGCCGCAGAACGAGATCGAAACGAGAACGGCCCACGAAATCGCCAAAAACACTGCTTGGGTCCAGCCCTGGAGTTCTGCTCCTGCAAACGCTGAGGGGTCCCGCCCCCGCTGCCTGAGGCGACGGCGGGTAGCCGCCAGCGGGTGCCCAGGCAGCCGGCCCGGGCGCCTGGCGGGGCGCCCCAAACCCCAACACGGTCGGCCTGTACTTTGAGGTTGCGCGGTAAGGATGCAAAGGGCCCTGGACGCCCATTTCGAAGCTTTTCGAGCGGAGCGCGGCCAACGAAGGTGACCAAGGATAGACCGAGGAGGCAGGGATGCAGAGGTACCCTTGGGAAGGATGCCCATCCTTATTCTACGGGTTGACTGTACCATTCTTCGTCCCTTCCCCCCTCTCTCGCGCTGAGATCCACGCATCAAGCACTGGCAATCTGATCGAGAGTCTGTACGGAGCTGCCGTCAAGACCCTCCTTTGCGCCGTTTGGCGCCAAGTTTGCTTACATCGGGGATGGACAAACCTCCCTTTAGTAAAACGTGGTTTAGTGAAAACGACTTCGGGCCCAAACCTGGCGGGCGCAAGCCCGGAAAATAACGGCCACGGCGCCCTCTCGAAAACCGAAAACGGACAATTCACTAATCGACGTGTCACTGTTGGGGGTTCTGTCCACCCCCGATTACAGGCCGCTGCACCGTCGGCACGCATATGCCCAAGGCCATCGCCCCATCCCCCACCCCCCTCCCCCCGTCCCCCATCCCTCCCCTGCCACTCTTCCCCCTGGCATCCCAAAGGGAAAGGAAGACGGGGGGAACGCGAGGGGGAGGGAATGGGGAGGGGGAGAGGGAGGGGCGGGAGAGCAAGGGGAAGGGGAGGAATGGGGTGGGAAAAGGGGGGCGGGGAGAAGCGGAGAGGGGAAGTCGCAGAGACGCATCCAGCGCGACCGGTGCCTGCGCGGCTGGCTGCGCCAGCGCTGGTTGCTGCCCAGCCAGCTGCTGGGCCGCCAACAACTGGGCATCGCGGGTGGCATTACAATGCTAAGGCTCTGCTGCAGGTGTGGATGACCCCCATCCCCCCTCCACACTCCTCCATCCCCTCCTGCTCCCCAGCCTCAATATCAACATCAACCTCCTCCCCCTCCGCCTCCGCATCCTTTTCTTCCTCCTCCTCCTTTTCCTCTCCCTCCTCTTTCTCCTCCTCCCTCGCCTCGGTGGCTCGGGAGCGCAGGCGTGGATTTTCCCGTCGATCCGAGCCCCCAGCCCGCGAGGGCGACCAGATCCATGCTTCGCCCTTTCTGCTCCTGCGGGGGCCCCGGTTCCAAGCTTCGTCCTCTCGCCACTCTGCACTCGCGGGGGCTCCGGTCTCGGTCAGTTTCGCTCTCCTCGCCGTGCAACCCGCAGGGGGCCTCCGGATTCGGTGGTTACCGTCACCACGAGCGATCGATCGAGGTCACCAGCGCGGCATCGGCGAGAGAGGCGTCTGAGGTCGGCAGCACGAGTGAGATTGTGCAATCATCGAGGCGAGTCTGCGTTGCGTATCAGCACCACGGACGGTCGGCTCCCACCATGGGCAAGAAGGCGTCCTTCGAGGGAAAGGGGGGCAACGGCAAGAGCAAGGAGGAAGCTGATACGTACACCAGGTGTCAGGCGTGCGGCCAGTCGGGAGGACACCCCAAAAGGAGGCAAAGGCGGTGCGGACTAGAAAAGAGCATCAGGTCCTGACCAGCTAGCTCGTGCATCTCCTCGTCAGACGGCTCAGCCCGCAGTGGCCGCAGGTCATGGCTCCGGGAGGAGGCAGCGGCTCAGAACCAGCTCGAGCGGCGCCTGGCTGCCGAGCGCCGACGCGGGGCCAAGGGCGAGCCCGAGGTCGGCGTCGAGAGCGCGGGCAGCGGAGCGGCTCCCGCAGCGCCGGCGCCAGGCGCACAGCAGCAGCCGAGGAGCCAGAGGCGCAGGCAGGCAGGCCAGGATCGCCGCCGAGGCCAAGAGGCGGAGCCAGGCGAAGGCCGCCGCTGCAAAGGGCGCTGCCGCCGCCGAGGCGAAGCGCGCGGGCCGCGATGCAGCAGCTTCGCCAGCGCCCGCCACGCGGCCAGTGCAAGGGGTCGGGTCCTGTTCGCCCGAGGTCTTGACCAATGCCATGCAGGACGACACTGACACGAGAAGGGAGAGTGAGGATCCTTCTGAGTGTCGAGTTTGCTTGGAGACGACTGTCACTGCACTAGGTGAGCAGGCGTGGGATTGCTCCCAGGTCCACGTGGGGCATTATCGAGTCTCGCGTCGATTAGCAACATATTCACGAGTGGTCCAGCAAAGCTCGGTCGCTAGATTACAGATCTGTGTCTAACCCTGCTAGACCGTCTGGCAGGGAACACTCCAATAAGACGGCCAGCGGGGCCAACGAGTGAAAGGGGGCGGTTGTCTTGCCGAGGGCCACCACCAAGCAAAGAGCTTCTGTGGAGCGTCGGCTTTCCCAGACCCTGCAGCGCATCAGTGCGAAGCTTTCGACGGAAACCCGCCAATCACCCTCCACGTGGATGATATAGTCACGTGGATGTTGTAGTCCTCGTTCTCTCCTGCGGGCTCCGAGGGGAGAATGAGGGCTGCCTTGCACGTGTAGGTGCTTGTGCTACTGCTTTGAAGGCACCTGGGATAGTTTCTTGGGGAGATTGGAGCGTCTCTAGCGCAGAGCTGGCACGCAACAAGCACTTTGATCGCATCAAACGAGTTCATTTGCGTTCTGAACTTGAGCACACTTGTGTGACTGGCACAAGGGGATTTTACATTCATTGCGCAGTCATGAGCTATAGCGCCCAGTGTTTCGTTCGAGGCAGGGACACAAAGTTAGACGTGCCATGGGGCACGCACTGCGGGTGTGCCTCACACTTGCAAGGTCGGGGCATCAAATGTTGACCCTCTCGTTGCCCATTCCGTCTAAGTGGGCCTCAGGTTGCTAGGCCGCAGACTCAACCATCTCTCCTCCTCCCAATGCTGCCAAGGAGAACAGCATCACGGAAGTTGGGGAGGCATCCCCTCGACTCGATTACCGATTGCAGTGGCCGGTTGGAAGATGATGATTGGGACCCGTGGGAGGACAGCGCCGAGCTGGAGGACGGCGCTGTTCACGCGAGTCCGCCACCGAGCCAGACCTCCAGCGAGGAAAACTGCCCCCTCCCCGAGGGGAGTCTTTCGACGATGGCTCCCCCAAGCTTTGCAGGCTCACAAAAATTCCATGATGTATCTTAGGGCGACGAGATCTATGCATATCCACTGCTCCTGGCCAGGCCCGTCCTGGGCCCAGGAGCTGTGTATATGCCTCCCTGGCCAGGCCAGGAGGGCGTATACACCGCTCCTGGGCCCAGGATTGGCCTGGCCAGGAGCAGTGGATATGCATAGATCTCGTCGCCCTATATCTCAGATCCCTCTCCCCATTCCCGACTCCATCTGGCGTTGCGTTCGGCTCGAACCGGTTTCGTTCCCCAGTGTTCTGTACACGTTCGGCCTGCTATTCATGAGTCATTTGCTTTCCACGCTGGAGGTGCTCGTGCTCGGATTTCGGGGTTAGTGAGATTTTCGCAGCATGGGCTAAGCAGCTGAGAAAACCATCACAACGCATCATCAAGATCCCGAGGGCTCCAATAGGTACACCAGTAATCTTGAGCGCTCCCGATCCATAGCCCAAGGTCCCGAGCTTGTCGAACAGCGCGCGCGTGAAGCCCAACGTCTCAGAGAGTTACCCTTGGTCGACCATGCCAACTCTTGTTGGGCGCAAACCCACTTTAGTTGCAGCGTCTGGCGCGGCACTGGCTAAGGTAGAATAGTAGCCAATATATTGGGATGATCATCAGGGCGGGGCTCCCATTCGTTTCAGACATATCTAACCATACTCATCTTGCTACTGCTGACGAAAAAGGGGCCATCACATGGGAAGCATGGAAACACTACAGTCGAGGCGTTGACCTAAGGAACCCTAAATAAGGAACGAGGCCCCTATTTTCCTTGAGTTGAACTTCGATTTCGCATCGAAAGCCTACGGAACATCCAAGGCGAGCTGCGAAACAATTAAGGAACACGGAGCCCCTCCCCAACGAAAGGGTTCCTTCTTCAGGGCCCCGACTGTATCTGGGAAACTTGGGCACGAGCACTGATCGGCTGGAAACTCTGGAGGCGAGCGCCGGCAGCATTGCCGAGCAAGCTCAACGGCGAGCCATGCAGTCAGTCGGGGCGTTGACCTCAGGAACCCTAAATAAGGAACGAGGCCCCTCTTTTTCCATAAGTTAAACTTCGATTTCCTATCGAAAACATAAGGACAACCTGAGGCAAGCTGTGAAACACTTAAGGAACGCGGAGCCCCTCCCCAACGAAAAGGGTTCCTTCTTCGGGGCCCCGACTGTATGCTCTTCGCACGCTTCAAGAGCGGATCGTCGACGGATCCACATTAGGCAAGGCCTTCCGCAGTCTAAAGCCCCACCCAGTCCCAGTCCAAGACACGAAAGTGGATGGCAACGTCATTTTCCATCCAATGGATCTGATTGACCAGAAGACCAAGCTACATCGAAAGTTGTGGGCAGCGGCGCGTACCAGTCGAAATCAGGCCGATCCCATGTCCAGCAAGACTCGGAGAGGAGCGGAGCTTTCGGACATGGAGGAGGAGGAGGAGGAGGAGGAGGAGGAGGAGGAGGAGGAGGAGGAGGAGGGGGCCCGCAGCAGGCCTCGGAGTGGAGCAGCTCACGCCCGTGGAGTTTGAGAGGTTGCCAGACTCTGCGCCAGAAGCTCCAGTATCATTGTGCACAACATGCGAGACGTGTCCAGCGCGGGTTTGACAGATGTCATTCGTCACTGGAAAGACTATGCCTAGGAAGCTCCAGTATCATTGTGCACAACATGCGAGACGTGTCCAGCGTGGGTTTGACAGGTGTCATTAGTCACTGGAAAGATTATGCCCAGGATGGGGATCGTACGGTTGGTTTGATGGGGATGCTTCGTGGGGTGATAGCTACACTAAGCAATGGCCAACTGGTGCGAATCCCCAGTGGGACGCAGCCTTTGCAGGTAATTCACTGTTGCACGAGGCTTTTTGAGGGTAGTCGAGTCCGAGACGCATTCAAGCATGAGCATGACCCACAGTCAGGTTGTTTTGGACATTCAATATTTATGATGGCATCAGGTGGGACAAGCTTGCTTCAGCAGCGTTGCGTTTAAGTGTTCCGCCTTCTATCCTTGCGGTAGAGCTGCAGCTGTGCATGGCACCAGCAGGGCCCAATCAAAGCGGCGCTAAATCAGTAGCTTCCCAAGCGGCTTGGAGCGTGGTGCAGGGGTTAGGAAGTGGAACCAGCTTCGCTAGATGTATGACGTATTTTGTATTGTCCCGTACGCATGAGACGCACCACTCTCTAAGCTAACGTATTTGGGTCGACGATATGATGCTGAGGATTGTCGGATCGGCTCGAATTGTCGAGGTCGAGTCAGTCGAGAACGTCACGGACGTGTCAAATATCATGCGAGGACAGCAACTCGAACTTGCGGACATGTCAATTGGTTTGAGCTTCTAGTTGGCTAAAACTATTCCGTCTCGGCTGCGGAGACTGGGCATTCATGTTCGAGCCACGTTGCAAGCTGCAAATCTGGGAATCGATCTGGGATGCGGTCGCAGAGTGGCCAGGAAAACCAGGACGGAGCGAGTCCTCAAGGGGACGATGCAAAGTCTTAAGTTGAGGAGGTATGCGGCTTCAGCTAGGATCTATAGGATAGCCAAGAAGGTGGAGCTGGCGGGGCCTCAAGCATGTTCCAAATACGGGATGGACATTTATGGCATCATGGGCTCTCAACTGCTTGGTCTGCGTCGAAGGGTTGCGGCCGGTTCTGGTTCCGCCGCAAAGGGGCCCGCTTAACTTCGGTGCTGGATATGCGTACACCTGGGAGGGACCCTGGCATTCAGGTGCCTGCAGCTTGCATCAGGACGTCGCTGGACTGCTGGACTCGTTTTCCTTCCATTCGGGCGGGGTTCATCGAGTTAGGAGTAAGCTGGTTAAGACTTTCAGGAATCTCCCCGTTTCCGAGAGATCCCGAAACATCAAGAGACATATTTCCGCGATTCTTGTTCATGTGTTAAACGCTAGTTAGGGCCCCATGGCTCCAAACGATTGAAAGGGTCCGGAGGTCGACTGGGACTAGAATAATGACGATCTCACGCACGTAGATCAGGCTCGACACCTTTTGAAGGATTTCTTGGTTTCGCCCAGTCAGATTCGATGGCGGGACGCTGAATCCCATTTTTGCGGCTCTGGCATCGCTGCAGGAGCTGACAAGATTTCTTCAATGCTCGTTGTCATACAGCTGGAGACGGCAAGGAAGGGAAGGCTACTTGCATAATTAATGCTGTGCATTGCGGTGGGATGATACTGGACGGAGGAGAGGAAGGAGCAGCGCAAACTTGTGCCTAGTACCTTTGCCCGAGATGTGTGCTAGCAGGACACCCACCAGCACTGGAGACTCCGCTCCATCGATGCTGGACGTGTCCTGAGAATCGATACCACAAGACTTTTCCTGACTCTGAGGATTTGGTGGCGGAGGCCATTACCCAAAGGGATATGGTTTCCTGTTTCTGGTTCAGAGGGGTCATTCCTGCGCCATGGGCTGCCGTTTTCCCTCGAGAGGAGATCGACAATTGAAAAGCCTGTGATCTTCTCACGCTAGAGTTGGAGCCAAGAGCCCTTGGTCACGGCACCGAGCTTTCGCCTCTGCACATTTTTGTAGACGCACCAGGTGGACGAGACAGAATGGAACCTTATCTCAGGAGAGTGGGAGTCGCCATCACTGTTGCGAGGCGTCTCATCCCTTTCGAAGTCGGGCCCTGAGCGTTTGGGCCCGCGCGCGCGTGCACTTCGTCCTATGTTTTGCAAGGGGCTCTCGATTACGGATGGTTTTTGGATAAACGAGTGCGCGCGCAATATATTTTTTGCAGAGGATGAAGGGGGGAAGGGGGCGAACTCCTGCCCAGCGGTGATGGTATGAAGTCATGTTTGGGAAGAACGATGGGGCAGAATCGTATGCACACTGCGACACGTAGGTGTCCCGTTAACTCTGGGGGGGGGTAGATCCTAACCCTTTAGAACAAAGAATATATATGTTGTGCGATCTATGTTATGCAATATCTGTACAGTCTACATTGGGCGGCGACCGGGCGTTGACAAGCGCGGCGACTGACAGACATGCCCAGACGACGGACGGACGAACGGCGAGGCGGGCGGCGACGGCGGCCGCAAAGCCGCCAGGACCGAAGACGCGGCCCAAACGACGGGCGGCGACGGAGAGGGCGACGGGACGGCGACGGCGGCCACGCAGCCGCCAGACCGAAGATACGGCCCAGTTCCACAGAACAGAAGTAAGAACCCCCCAATGCAAACACTGCTCGGGGAAGAACTGCTCGGGGAATACTCATACATGTGTGTTGGAGACATGCGGAGTGCTTGCGAAGATGCCTCGAAGACAGCCGGCTCAGGCCGTTCTCTGGTGGGACGCCTTCCTTCGCGTGGATCGCCTCGCCCGCCGGCGCGCCGGCCTGTGGTGGAAGAGGCGCGGGCATCTGGGCCTGCAGGCACGACGCAGGCGTGGATGAAGGGGCTCTGGAACACACAAATAAATAAACACAAATAACACAATTCCCTATATTTTCCAATATTTTCTGGGTTTTTGTCTTCCCCCCCACTTCCCATATTTTCGCATATTTTCCTGGGAGTCGACGATTAATTGTGTCTGTGTGTTTCTTTCCCTCCTGAGTGGAGGCGAACGAGGGCCAGCCTGCAAGGGTGGCCGGCCCCTGCGTGTGCTGGTGGATTCGCAGGAGAGCACTGGCGGGGGCGCAGAACCCACGCCCAGCGGAGCGGAAGAGAGACAGAGAGAGGAAGGCGAGAGGGAGAGAAGGGAGAGGAGAGAGGGAGAGGAGAGAGGAAGAAGAGAGAGGAAGAAGAGAGGAAAAAGAGAGAAAGGGAGAGAGGAAGAAGAGAGGGAGAGAAGGGATGGGGCGAAAGCGAGAGAGAGATGGAGAATGAAGAGGAGGTAAGGGGGGCCAGAAGAGGACGGGAACCGTGGGGGGCGAGGGGCGGAGTGGGCCGGCGAGGGGGGGGCCGCCAGCACACGGCCCAGAGACAGCAGCGGTGGGCGCGCCAGCTGCTCAGGGGAGACGTTGCTCTGCGCTGCCAGAGCCTCGCGGTCGATGGGGGGGGGGGGGAAACTGAGTGGAGGAACGGGAGGAGGAGAAGGAGGAGAAGAAAGGCAGAGGAGGAGGAAGGAGACAAGAATAGGTCCACAATGTATGCAATACGCCCTCCCGTCCAAATCCCCTTCTCACTGGTCCCTGCAAGCATTATTTTCCGTTGTCTTCGGAGTGCGGCAAGGTGGGGCCATAAAGTACAAGGCAAACCCAACGACAAACCCACTTTGACAAGGAACCAACCTCCATCCATGCAAGTATTGCACAATGTGGAGATGCCTGGTGACCACGTAGTCTCAAACGAGAGGCCCATGTTGTACTTGTGGTGGTAATGGGTGAAAATGCATCTACCGATCTCCCCATGTTCGAAAAGAACCGCTCTCTATTCGTTATTCGTCTAACTGGTGGAGATATTTGAAATCAATGTGCGCGGCGTCCACGCGAAACCCCTAAGTTGAAAACGATTCGTCCTCGATTCGTGTTATTGCTGGGGAAAACAATTGTGTGTGTGTGTTGTGTGTGTGCGCGCGTGTGTGTGTGTGTGTGCGTGTGTATGTGTCTGTGTCTGTGTGTGTGTGAGCGGCGCCAAAGCGAACACTAAACTTTGAGCATCATGTACCCTACATCGGTGTAGCTGTTTATGCATGGCGCTAAAACGATAGCCCCATTGTTGAACAACATTCCCCCTCCATCCTTGCACAGGATGGGTGTTAGTTAAAACGAATGTGCGCGGGGCCAAAGCGAGCAACCCAACGCCCTGCCCGGCCTAACGACAGGTCTAATGGTGCGATATCGAAGAATTACTTTTCAAGAGTACATACATGATAAGCTAAGCTGGCGAAGGACTCAGCCGTGTGCAGTTGTGAGCACCGTCGTTGTATGCAACGCATTCGGAAGAGCTCCCAATAGGACCACGAAACCTGCTAGGGGTGTGCCAAACATTGTGCGGCGGGCGCATGCGAAAGCAGCCATTGGGGCAGTCGGTTGAATTCCCTATTGCGCCACGAAGCGTGTGAGGGGTGTGCCGAATAGGTGCGGTGGGCGCATGCGAACGTAGCCACTGGGACCGTCGGTGGAGCAGCCACCATGCGGACGGCGCCACTGGGACCCCAGGTGAAGCTCTCTATGGGGCCACGAAGCGTGTGAGGGGTGGTACGGTGCCATTGGGACCTTGGGTGGAGCTCCTCACGGGGCAACGAAACGTGTGAGGGGAGGGGCGGGAATGGGATGAAGGAGGAAGGGGGGGAGGAGAAAAACACAGAGGAGGACGCGGTGCCCATCTCTGCAAAACGGGGACCCAAAACCATAGGATGGTTGGGGAAACACCTTCGAACTGCCCCTGTGCATGGGTATGGATGTAGGTATGGCCTCGGCGCTTCGCCTGAAACCTGCCTGGGGCGCCCCTCAGTGGGCCTTGGCGATGAAAAGGGGGCGTGCAGGGAGCAAACGTTGCCCAACAACTAAGCAGCGGACGGGGAGCTGCGAGCTGGGAGCCTGCATGGTCCCGAGCCCGCCCTCCCAAGACAAAAGCTATCGTACGTCGACAAACCGAACTGTGTGAACTGGGCGTTCGCACGCTCCACCACCAATCTCCATTCCCCCTCCCTGCTCCGAGCCAACGGAACGACGGGGGAGGGAGGGAGAGAGGGAGGGGGGGGAAAGGGATACGAAGGCAAGGAGGGACTGGGGCAACCGCAGCCTTCTACGCCGAAAGAAGCAGGGGGGACGACCACGGATACGTCAGATGGATCCACAACATCGAGGCGGGGTAAAGGTGGAAGCCGAGGAGCCAGGACGGAGCGGAAACACAATGACAAAGAGAGGGGAGGAGGAGGAGGAGGAGGAGGAGGAGGACGAGGAGGAAAAGGAGAAGGCGGAGAAGGAGAAGGAGGAGTGTCATGAGAACGAACGGCGAACGAGGCTCAACCGTCACCCTCGGCCTCCCAGGCAGGAAGAAGGGGCCCGCAGGCGCCAGCACCGACGGTCAGGAGAAAGGCAAACACCTCGTCGCTCAGCGACTCGCTGCCCAACCGAAACGGCGTGGTGCGTAGGAGGACAGCCGGTTCACCGCGTCACCGCGCAGTACTTCCCGACCGTCACCCCTGCCGAATCGGATGGCGTGTGCAACTGGGTTTGTACCCCAGGGTGAGCGGACACAAGGCCCCAAGGGACTTACGGACCACATGGCCCCGCCTCTCAACCAAATAGAGCCGCGGATCCATACGAATACTTTGGAGCCTCGCCTGCAGACTGTTGTTGCTCCAAGCACTATGTGAGGTACCAAATGGTGTAGTGGCTCTGCTCACAGGAGCGAACGAAGCAGGTTGCCCTGCAGGTACTGGCAATTGTTGAACCTGGGCGCGCCACGGGTCGTTAGCATACAACGTGTCAGTAGGCGTAATACCACTTGGCGTAACACCTGTAACATCAGCGCTCGGTGCCTGTATCCAAGATCCATCAGATCCCCCTGCAGGGGCCCCCGCATGGCATGCGTTCATCATGAGCACGTGTGAGAATACAATCGGACGTGGCCCGGGGCACTTCTAGTTGTATGGGGGTATCTGGAATAAACCGATTCCTCGAAGATGATGCATCATTGCGAGTCTCGTACATATCATCAATTCCAGTACCCGTGTACGGTTGGTTGTCGTCCTTCAAATATACGGAATTTATCCATATCTGTCCCACACTATTGTACTTACACATATGATTTGGCAAAATCCCGATCGACTGGGCGATGTGAGTAGGAGGGATTCTGCCATTGCGGCCTGCTGTCATGACAATGTCGTTCGCCGGACGCCACACTGGAATATTGTCCCGAATCAGGTTCTTCAGGCTGACCAGGATCAGGGCCTCCAAATCCATGAGTAAACCAGATTGGATTCTATTGTCACCAGGAAGGTATGGACATCCATGTACAAACTGCCTGCCCCTCTTCTTACTGGTGTCGTCGGCGCGACAAGATAAACCAATGCTGAGAATACTCGGCATATTCTCCCATTGAGTTCCATGAATGAAGTACCGAGGCGCCCCAGGTGCTGACAAGCCAGTGATCCTCAAATATAACGATTCTGGGCACCTGATACCAGGGCTGCTGTGCCCGTTAGCCAGGCGGATGAAGTGTCGTAGGTCATGTCAGCATACCTCACTCTTGATATGAAGCCTGTTATTTTTCATTATGGACTCATCTATCATGCCGATAAGTTCCAAGACAGCATCGGCCTGGCACGCCCAGTGACGATGTTTGAACAGGCGGCAAGCCGTGTCAAGATGATTGGAGTGATACCTTTCGCATCCTTCTGCAGGCCATGTATTGAGGAACTGCGATAAATCGGCCCAACCGTCGAACTCGTCATAGGTCGCAACCTCGCGCATGAATCTATCTGACAAGTGACCATTGCGAAATGGTTTGTGACGGAGGGCGGTTGTCAACCACTCAGACACCTCGCGTTGTTCGCCATGCGGAAGCTTCGGTCTACGAACGTTGTCCGTGGTGAGGGTGTTCTTCAAATATTCCCTTTCCGTCTCCAACGCGAGGGCGGGGCGTGTCCGCCGGATGTGGCGCGCTGTTTGGCGTGCGCGTGCACTTTCGTCTGAATGGGCAGCAGTGTCCACGATGTTGGATTGCACCACCATGCAGCGATCCCTCCATCATCATTTCGCAGATTATATGCTGGATTAGTCTTCATGCGGTTGCCCGTGCGCATCCTGTCCCAGTAGCCCTTACACTCCGGTGGCACCTCCAGCGCAGGGGCAGGGCGCGCTGCTGGGGCGTGAGCAGGTTGCCCCGCAGAACTCTGAGCAGGTTGCCCCGCAGACCGTGGAGCAGCCTTTTGCGCTGGCGCTGCAAACGTTGCCGCGCTCGCAGCCGATGCGGCAGCGCCGACAGAACCTCTGGGAGTCCTTGGGGTTCCTTGCGAAGTACTGATATCGAAGCCCTGGTGCTTCCTCTCCTTGGTGTTGTAGTAGTCGTGGATCGTTGTCGATCAGCGTGTTGTTCAGCGGGTTGCCCCGCGCATTCTTGCTGTCCCCAGGGTTAGGATCGTCGCCTGGGCTCTTGCGCTTCTCCTTCTTGGGCTTAGGGTGATCGGGGCCGAGAGATGGACTTATTGAGCCAGAATCAGAATCATAATCAGAAGACGAAGGAAGTTCGGTCGTTTCTGGCTTCGGCTTAGGCGCTGCCTTTGCCGCAGCTCCTGCCGGTGCCCCTGAAGAAAACCGCCGATGACGCTTTATGGGGCCCCGGTCAGGATTCAGATCGCCACCAAATGGCCTCCTGAGAGCCATATTCTCAATCGGAACTTTGTGTTTTCCACCTTTGTGTTTTCCGCCAAGTAAGTACGTATCTGCACTACGTCGTTCGGTTATGAAAATAGTGATCCAGCCCGCGCCGTGAGCACGGTAAACGACCCCCCTTCCAGAAGAAAACTCCATGTCTCTCGTAACGTCGTAATCAAGGTCGATCGGAGTATCAGTGTCACTGTATTGTCCGTGATACCCGAATCGCTTGATTCACCGTCGCCAAGGGCAGCTTCCGTAGAATCAACTTCTTCAGCCATTGAATCATCTTCTGCTTCAACTTCATAAACTTCGGGTTGGCTCTCTTCCTCTGACTTGTGATCAGCAGGTTTCCCTGCGTGCCATTCTCGGTTGAACTGCGCCAGATAGTGAGTAGGTGCCAAGTTGTGCCAAATAACATTTGTTGGTACAATCTCTGTAGTGGTAGCAGGGAGGTAATCCCTCTCCGCCAGCTGCTTATCGCAGAGTTTTTATTGGGGTCAGTACAGCACCCCTCACCATCTCCATGTGACCAAACCCATGAAGTTTGTCTGAAATTCGGGCTTCCTGATGGGCGTCTCACGGGACAGCCAGGTCTGTCATCGGCAAATGTAGGGCATGTACAGCAAGCGCCTCTGCAACGCTTCCGATCCTCGATAATGGCCCTTTTGTGATCACGCACAATCATCTTTTCCTGGGATTTGGTCTGCCCCTT